TTGGCTGATTACAAAGATTATAGGAAGAATGACAAATATCATTTGGAGATATTTGATTATATACACCTCAAAAGCTTAAATTGTATAATACATTCAGCGGACAGTGGTAAGATCTTTGGAGTGAGTGCTGAGCCACAATTATCTCCTACAAAAATATTTAGTTTTGCCTGAAATTTGATGGACATGTTTTGTAATGGCTATCTTTATTAAACATTATTTTGGCATGCAAATGCTATTTAAATCATAATTTGTATAACAAGGTAACTAGTTAAAATTCCATTCTGACCACTTTATCAAAGTTATTTTGTGATCAGATGTTCTCCATGTGTATCATGTCATAAATGTTATTGAGGAAACTCTCATGAGTGTTATGAGTGTTTTGTGACAATTTATTATTTAATTTACAGCAACCAAACCTAATTTAATAAAATCAAAAGCAAGTTTCTGGGAATGGTTAGTTTCCATGAATAAACCATGAACAGAAGAAACATTTTTTTTGATTGTATTGAGGAGAAAATTCTTCTTCTTTATAACATGGATATAATTTTAGTCTTGATGTTTTCCCACTCTCTAGGAACATGTTACCTTGTACCTTTGTTAGGAGGATGGTTGGCAGACACCTACTTGGGTAGATTCAACACCATTTATGGAAGTTCGTTATTGTATGTTGTAGGAACTTTACTTTTAGCTGTTGTTTCCTTGAAAAATGACATGCTCAAAGAACTACTGGGCAAAAATGCAGCTCATGATAAAGCAGCAAGATTAGTGTATTTTGTGTTGGCTCTGGTAATGATAGCATTTGGGACAGGGGGAATCAAAGCTAATGTGTCACCTTTTGGGGCAGATCAGGTTCAACAGGATGGTCCCAGAGCTATCCAGGCTTTCTTTAACTGGTTTTACTGGTTTATCAATATTGGATCATTGATAGCTTTTACTGTTGTTGTGTGGATTCAGCAGTATAAATTTTTCTACGGCTATGCTATCACTGCAGGGACCATGTTCCTTGCGGTTCTTGCATTTCTTGCGGGTCGCAACAAGTACTTAACAAAGCCACCTGGAGGTAGCCAGCTGACTGAAATTACAAAAATATTGTGTGAGGCAAGGCGAAATCGCAAACAGAACACTGGTGGCTGGCTTGATGGAGCAAAGAGCACTTTTGGAGGAAAATTTACACGTGCTCAGGTTGAAGATGTCAAGTCACTCCTGAGAGTCATTGCAGTGTTCTTTCTCTTTATTCTTTACTGGACAATTTATTTTCAGGTTAGTTTTGGTGTAAGGTTTCTTTTAATTCCAAGTAGGTTGGGTGTGGCAAGGATTTATTGCCTCTCCCAGGTACACACCAAAAACATCATTGAAGAATTCTTAGCCATTCAGTACCTGCTTTCTTGTCCTGTCCCTGCCCTTCCTTATATCGAATTGCTTTATGAAGCTCTCCTAACCTTTTAACTGCCAAAAGCGATCAACATGTGCTTGACGAAGACTAGCAGTAAAGTGGTCAAAAGGTTCCTAATCAATACACAATTGATTAGCTTGTATCTTACATTGTCTTACAAATAATTGAAAATTGATTTAATATATACTTAACCACAAAGAACATCAACATTTTCTATAGCAGTTTAACAGTAGAATGACTCTCTCAATTGGACAGTTGCAATCATTGTATAGACAAATTTTGACGATGCTAGTAATATTGCCTTATCCACACTTATCCTTATTTTACTTGAACTTTTTAGTTTCAATTTAAATACACACATATATATTTTGTTGCCTTTCCCAGATGCAGACCACATTCCTTATCCAAGCTACCTTCATGAAACTGAAATTTCCGCACTTTACTGTACCAGCAGCTTCTTTGTCCATTTTTGATACTGTTGCAGTTCTTACACTTATTCCTCTCATGGATAATGTTTTGTATCCTTTTGTGCGCTACCTTGGCTTTAACTTCACTCCTCTGCGACGTATTGGTGTGGGTATGTTGCTGGCAGCAGCTTCCGTGGCAGTAGCAGGAGTGATTGAAATACAACGAAGGAATGAATGGCTTCATGGTGGCATTTGTCGGCAAAAAGTTTTGGATGATTACCGCAGTGCTTCATGTTTAAGTGTATTTTGGCAAGTCCCCCAGTTTGCATTGATTGGTGCCAGTGAAGTTTTTACAAGTATTGCAGGTATGCAGAAGTCACACAGGGAAGCAAACAGTCTTTCAAAAGTTTTTAAAGAATTTCTTTTAATCAAAGTTGTACTAAACCCCTCAATTCCTAAGATGTGATAAGAATTATTTCTCTCCCTGACCAGTGAGAGATCTTCCTTTAAATTAATTTGGAGCATATTGCTGGCATTTTATCTAAATTGCGACTGAATGTAATTATTATGTCCCTGTTAAACCATGGTAGTAACCTATTGAGATCCTACATTTTCAAGCTTTTCACCCAATACATTGAAACTCTACCCTTAAAGGTGATTTAAGTCAGGAGACCATTTTGCTATTTTACAGATCGTGAAGTACATAATAAACATTAGGAAACATTAGGAAACATTAAACAACAGGAGGTAGCTCTGAAAAGTCAAAATCCAGTTTTGATGGCCCAGTTCATCTCACAAAATTGATGATGTCTGCAAACACATATCTGAGCATGCTTTAATTCACAGTAACCCACCAATCAAATCAAAGCTTCAACATCCCTCCCTACCCCACAAGCATATGATGGTCGTCCATATCAAGGGGAGGGGGTGAAATTTGAACCTTGTTGTCTGGCTAGGGTGAGAAATCTAAACCACAAGTTTCAATTCTTTCTAGCAGAAAAAAAGTGTCATACATTTGTATCTTTGAAGAGGTAGGAGGTAAATAGGTCAGTTTCCTAAGAGAATGACTTAGAAGAAAAGGTCTACAATGTCTAGGTTTTAATCCTCGGGTAATTTTTAGAAAAAAGTTCCCAGGCATTCCCAACAAATTGGGTGTGGCATTTGAACACAATTTTTGCCAGGTGAGTGGGAATTTTAGGAAACCAATCTTTAAAAGTTTAATTCTGGGGTGGGGGAGGAGGGTGTTGAAGCTTCAAATCGATCAATGCATAACACCCAAGCCAACTCACAACCATCACCTCACAAACTGGCATAAACCTTTTTCTTCATAAAGTATTATAATATTAATGATAAGTGTGGTTGACTGCAATTGTACTTGTTGATTGCTTGTAAGAAGAGTGTGTTAAATGATCCTTAAATCAGCCCACATTCAACACAGTCTGAGTTAATTGCTTTTTCCCTACTGCACTTTAACCCTTTTATTCCTCCCCTCAAGCTGCTTAACATTTCCTTGTTAAAGAATTCTAAGAATTTGGTGTTAGATCTAAATAACAACTTTTACTAGTCATTAATAAGTTTGAGTATGCTCATTTCCTGTTAGCTGCAAAATGTTTGGATATCTCAAGGAGAAGTTGAATGTTAATCATTTCTGGGAGTTAACCCTTTAACTACCACAAGTGACCAAGACAGACTTTCTCCTTACAAAATCAATACAATATCAACCAAATAAGTAATGAGAATAAAGAAAAATATCAATTTGGAGATAATTAGTTGATTCAATACTAAATTCTCTGAACTAACGTTATAAGAATCATATGGTTGACAGTAAGGAGAATTACAAATTTGATATTGGAGTTACAGGGTTCATTAAAAGGGTTAAGCAATAGGGTTTGGATCATTATTAATAAGGGAGGGATCCCCTAATCCAGGGTTTGGCTTATTACATTTTAGTTAACTGAATCTCCCAAAGTAACATTTTAATCCTTGGATAAGTACCTCCCCCCTTTGAAAAAAACTTCTCTCTGATATAAGTTTAGATAATTTGAGCTGAACCTCTCATTGGATTTTTGTTGTGACTATTTCTTGTCAATTTTTCTGTACAGGACTTGAGTTTGCATATTCACAGGCTCCCAGGTGTCTTCAAGGGGTTGTGATGGGGGCTTTCCTTGTTACAAGTGGTCTTGGAAACTATGTTGCAAACCTTCTTGTCGTCATTGTCAAGGAAGCTAGCAATGGTGATTGGTATCCAGTGGACAACCCAAACAAAGGACACTTTGAGTACTTCTTCTTTCTGTTGGCTGGGCTAATGATGCTAAATTTCCTGGTGTTCCTGTACGTTGCCTCCTACTACAAATACAAAACTTCCTCCTTGAGGAATTTTGGAAGAGAGCCGGACATAGTACAACAAGACAATCCTCAAGTTTGAAGTCAATGAGTATTGTATCAGTCAAGGCCTTCCACAGTCGAAATAATTCTTTTTTTTTTCTTTGTTCTGGCTTTTGTCTTATGTCTTGTTTTGTTTTCTGGCAGCCAATCCACACCCTTTTTTGACATGAATCCTCTTAGCACAGGGGTACAAGTGCAGAGCTATTGGGAGGTGGGGGAAGAGGGCTTTTTGAAAGAAATCAAAAAACAATTTTGTTTTATTGCCTTGATTTTTGATTTATTAATAACTTTTTTCATGAGTTGAGAAATAAACCAGAAAATGTCTATACCAATTAATCATTACTGTTATAACTTTCCAGTATTAAGTGATTTTACTCGTTTGTATTAATGTTAGAAAAATCTTCCCTATTTAGTCGAGAGAACATTCTTCCCAAAAAACGGGCTCCAAGCCCTCTGATTTTTTATGTCACATGAAGGAAAAATATGATTTTACGTTTTACAATCTGAAAGGTCTCTTTTGGAACAGTCATGGACTGCAGTGTTAGTTGCAATTGAATAAATGTTTCTGAACAATATTTTTGTTGTGTTTTAAGTGATAAATGAACCAGTTGTGTACTTTGATTAACTTTTGGTTTTGTTTTGTGACCACGAGGAAGCAAAGCAATCTTTCGACTGAAATAGGTGTACCCACTAAATAAATTCAGTAACTTCGCTTTAAGCAGCTTTCAATGATTTCATTCGTCGAAATCGTAATTAGGTGAAGGGAACAGAAATCTTAAAGCAGAGACCAAAGTAAAGCAGAATGCTTTTTAATTCAGTACAATATTTCGGCTTTTCAAGCAGCCTTCTTCGAGAACAGATCGATAGAATTCGCATTGGAAGGGCAGGGGAGTTGCGTTTTGCAGGGATGTTTTTGTAATATACCCAAAATATAAGTTAGTGTAATGTGATATACAATGTGTATAATCAAAGACGAAGTAAAGCACCAAAATTATTAAAAGGAGGGGAAAAACAAATATTGGCTACCATCGAAACATTTCAAGGAGCACTCCTTTTTTTTTTCATTGCGTCTTCATACAAGTACAAAGTGTCGTCTCTGCTAAGTGACGAGAGTGAGATGAACAGGTCTAGGCTGAGCATGAACTAACTTTTAGTACTCAATCTACGCGAAGCTGATTGCTTTATGTCTGCATGCCTCAGCTAAACTAAGGGGCAGAGGAGTTCAATTTGTCTGTATAGTAGCGCTGAAAGTCTTTACAAAATACTGTAAGAGGATTTTTGTCACTCGGTGAAGATTTCAAGAGACGCACCTATTTGATAGCCAATCAACAAGACCGATTGTGCGATAAATTTACTGGAAATATAGTCAAAGGGGAATTTACCCATATGATTTATTTTTATTCTGTTGCTTTTGGAAAGTTATATATCAGTATGTCATGATTTCGGCCCATTACGATTTTGCCTCCATGTCTACGAGTTCGCCCTATTAAATACAAAAAGTTCCCCCCGCCGTAACCAATTCGCCTGCGAATTTTTTAATTTGTTTCCATGAGGCAGAATTTGTTCAATTTCCGACTTATACAGATCTTTACCAAGACGATCAAATTGTCAGAATACTATTTCAAACTCCACATTTGAGCGTGGTTTGTGAGTAAAACTGGCCTTGTTTATACATTAAAATGGTAATTTCATGGTAGAAGCACTGACGCGCACATTAAAATAAAGTTTTCTTCTTTATATCTGTCAAAGCCATATGTATCAGCAATGATGGGCGTGGGTAGTAGTAGCTTGAGAAGATTTTCCCTTTTCTCGTGAAGGCTAGAGCTCTGAGTAAAGTAACATAAGCCTTCCTGCTATAATCATAACCATCACAATTTCCTCAAATGTGATTGGTGCATTAGCTGCTTTATTTTTCACTAATCATTCTGCACAGTTGTAATCGGACAGTGTAATCGCACAGTTGACTGCCGACACAAGCGAAGCAAATTTCAACGACAGCTATGAGTTTCGCTAACGAAGACATACTGAGAAGCGAGGATATATTTTACGGAAAAGACTTGAATCGTTTTATTAGCGTAGTCGAGGTATCCAAGTACTTATCGTAAACTGAAATATGAAATTATAAGGAAGAAGCTAAGCTAAATTCTAAGATAAGGACCAACATTCCAATCATTCCGATATATAGGCAAGATCCTAAAAGACTAGCTAAAACTTTAAAACAAACTCACAAAAAGACCATCTTAAAAGGATAAAGGAGAAACGCTTGAAAACGAATTCAAACAAAACTAATAACCGAGTGGAAAAAACTAGCAGGTTACTAACAAAGCATGAACAACGTAAGCCACGTGTTACAAGGTTGCAAAGAAACTGGTGTAAAAACTGGGCGAAACTACCGACAAACTAGATGTTTAGACAAGCACTTACATAACAGTCCCGCTTGTAAGAGTTTGACCAAAACGAACTTCAAGATAAGGTGGGCAAACGGGGGCTTTTCGATAAACACGTCTTATCGTTAGCCAAAGGCAAGACAACTAACTACATTGCGGTTCTGGGCGGAACTTAAAGATCACGTCCCTAATGGACAAATATGGGCGGCCGTCACCACCAAAAATACAAGGATGTCAAATAGATCAGCAAATACAAAGATGGTGTAAGGATCAGCTGCAGGATAGCATAGCTAATAAAGGAATGGCATGGTCAAATTATAGACAGTCTAGTTTTCCTTCGTGAAGCAGATCACCCTAAACATGAATAGTTTAGCCAAATGAGAAACGGTCTAGTAGCCCATGTTGAGTTGGAACATGAGATTGTGAAATGGACTAGCTTAATTACGAATAGCTTAGCACTCATTTGCAATACAGTACTCAAACGGTGTAGCGTTGCGTTAAACGGCTCAGGGTAACGTCTAGTAGCACAGCTTACGCACAAACGGTGTAGCGTTGCGTCAAATGGCTCAGCGTGATTTAGAATGGTACAGCGTACATTCATATGATGTAGCGCCGCGGGAAATGGCTCCGCGTAATGTCGAATGGTATAGCATACATAAAAACAGTGTAGCGTTGTGTGAAATGGCTCAGCGTGATGTTGAATGGTACAGCGTACATACAAACAGTGTAGAGTTGCGTGAAATGGCTTAGCGTAATGTCGAATGGTACAGCGTACATACAAACAGTGTAGCGTTGCGTGAAGTGGCTTAGCATAATGCCGAATGGCACAGCGTACACACAAATGGTGTAGCGTTGCATGAAATGGCTCACCGTAATGTAGAATGGTACAGCGTAGACACAAATAGTGTAGCGTTAGGTCGAATAGCTTTGCAAAACATCAGACGCTCTATCTGAACATTAAATTGCTTAGTATTACTTGAAATATTTCGATGTTGTGGCGAATTGTAGTGGCGTGACGTGAAGGCCATGCCATTCCTTTATTAGCTATGCTATCCTGCAGCTGATCCTTAAGCCATCTTTGTATTTGCTGATCTATACGACATCCTTGTATTTTTGGTGGTGATGGCCGCCAAGGCATCTCGCCGAAACCACCAAAAATACAAACCGCAAATGGAACAGTGATCTGCTGGGGGCATGACGTCATCCAATGTGAAGACTGACACGAAACCATTACATGGCGTAGTCGCTGTGTGGAATAGTCT